GACCAATGAATTGACTACGTTGTTTACAAAGGTTTAGGAGTCAGAAAGTGTTCCAGCAGCATGGAATGAGTCGATAGTCGTCCCTATCTTCAAAAAGGGTTCACGTTGTTCTTGTAACAAATATCGGGGGATAAGTCTACTTCCGATCGCGTCCAAACTATTGGCTTCTATCATTCTTCGTAGGTTGTTTAAAACCCGAGAACGATTGACTCGCGAGGAGCAGGCTGGTTTTCGTTCTGGTCGAGGATGCATTGATCACATCTTCACCCTCCGCCAAATGTTAGAACACCGTCATACTTATCGCAGGCCAACAATCGTAGTGTTTCTTGATATCAGGGCGGCCTTCGATTCGTTGGACAGGACTGTTCTCTGGGATTGTCTATTGAAGAAGGGTGTGCCTGAGAAGTTCATTAACATCTTAAAGGCCCTGTATACGAACACCTCAGACACAGTGAGGGCATACAACCACCTTTCTCCCTTGTTCCATTCGAGCAGTGGGGTTAGGCAGGGTTGACCGATCTCACCATTCCTCTTCAACTTTGTTATCGACGACATCCTGGAAACAGCTCTGATGGATGTAAGTAATGGCGGTGTGGATATGTTGCCTGGAGAACGACTTCTCGACCTTGAGTATGCGGATGACATTGTCTTACTCTGCGATAATGCTCAAGCCATGCAATCCGCACTTAATCAGTTGGCAATCAGTGTCCGCAGGTACGACATGTGATTTGCACCCAAGTGCAAAGTACTCCTACAAGACTGGCAGGATTCTCATCCTGTACTCACCCTGGATGGTGAGCAGATTGAAGTAGTTGAGAAGTTCGTGTATCTAGGTAGCTATATAAGTGCTGGTGGTGGCGTGAGTGATGAGATTGATGCACGTATAATGAAAGCCAGAGCGGCTTATGCCAATCTGGGCCATCTTTGGCGCCTTCGTGATGTTAGTCTGGCTGTAAAAGGTCGAATCTACAACGCGTCGGTGAGAGCAGTTTTGCTCTATGCTTGTGAAACCTGGCCTCTACGAGTTGAGGATGTTAGACGACTCTCTGTGTTAGATCATCGTTGTCTCCGAAGGATTGCTGACATCCAGTGGCAACATCATGTTAGTAATGCAGAGGTTCGGCATCGTGTGTTCGGGCGCAGAGACGATAATTCAATTAGTGTCACCATCTTGAAACACCGACTTCGGTGGCTTGGACATGTTCTACGAATGTCGTCCCAGGGAATTCCACGTCGTGCATTATTTGCCGACTCTGGGACTGTTTGGAAAAAGCGGAGAGGTGTTCAGTGTATGACATGGTGTCGTGGTATGAAAGAAAGCTGCAAAGGGCAAGCTTCTGTAGGTCCTTCACGATTCCCTGGCTGGGGTCCGAGAGATGGTGCAACACGGTGGCTTGAGACGTTATCAGATATGGCTCAGAATAGAAGCCAGTGGCGATCCTGCTGCAACCTTCTTTAACTTTCTACATAAAGAATGGTTCTAACTTTTTTAACTGAAAGAGTCTTCTGGTTGTACATTTCAGCCCGCCTTATCTTTTCATCCCTTCTCTTCCTACTTTCATTATTTTGTGTGGCGCATATGTACCTGGTGCCCTATTGTACCAATATGTATGTGTTTAAATAATAAATAAACTCTCATCCCCTCATACAGACTATTGCTCGTTATGTTTAACTGTAATGCCAGATTATATAATTATCTACTGGAACACTATGATGACTTCTTGTGCAATTTTATGTTGTCTGTCTACTTTTTCAACATAAGGGGTTTATTCAGTGCAACGTAAAATATCGCGTTCAAACAAACTCCGGGATCTCTAGCGTGGTCATTTACCACAAGTGTTTACCGGCTATTAATAAACTTTGGCTTGTCATTGAAACGTTTAATAGCATCAAGGAGTTGCGTCTACTTTCCATCACATCTTGTAGCTTACGAAATGTTTATTTTTCCACTTTTACAGTATTATCTGCTGAGTATAACATTATTTCTCCCCAGTTTTGATTACTGATGGACTGAGATAGAAAATCTCAGATATTGAAAAGTGAACTTGGTGATATAGTCGTAGTGCTATGAAAAAAGTTTTGAGGTCAAGGATTGGCTTTTAAGGAACTGCAACGAAGCTAAAGGTTATTCTCACTCAGATACAAATAGAATATAGTCAGGTGTCATCAGCGCCTACAACATTCTAAATAACTTTCAGTATAGGGTTGTGGAGACTGTTGAATTTCAATGGAAAAATTAGCCGATCCTAGTTAGATCATCCTCCATGTTGGGTGTAAGGCAGTTACTGACCGAAGACAATGAATGGTAGTCCAGTAATGCCGTAGGCTGAGTAAGGTTAGATATTAATACCGCTGGACTCTGGTTCAGTTATCTATAGGTTAGGCGTTTGCACACGAGACAGAAGGTCCTTGGTTCAAGCCGTGTGTATAGGATAATGGATGCGCAGTACTGAGGAGTTTCCAATTAGCATGAATCAGTCATTCACCATTTCTAGGTTTTCAATGGTGGTTTCATTCATACAGATTGATGGTTTCAATGAAAATAAATAACCCACATTATCCAAACAAAGAAGTCTTACACTGAGGTTAACATCGTGATCCTTGAAGCGTCTATCATGACTTGCTATCAAATATCGAATACTCATGTGCAATCTTAGAATTTCTCAGGGATAGTATGTGATACCTGAGGTGGTTTTTCAACCAAAATGACTATTCTTTACAGATCGCAGTAGAAGAGTACCGATAACGTATGCATCCATGAGTCAAGTCAATGCATGCGTATACAAGACTAGATGCTGGCGCGAATTTCTCACTTATTACCAGCTATGCAACCTTGACTTTTCTTATCTTTTTTAAGCCAACAGTTCGTGAATAAACATGACCAAGTGATCTATCGCTTGTGGAAGTAATGGTAAGTGGGTACTAAAAAAAGCAAAGTGTCGTCAAAACGTCGGAGATGTTCTCTCATATCAAGACTTAATGGTCCAAAAATGGATTAGTCAGTTTTTTGATGCTTCCAGGATATTGTTTATTGAACAAACTATCACTTTTGCTTGTTTAAGTCAATATTTTTGACGTCGACAAATAGTTTCGTTCTTGTCCTTCCGGGCCTGGTGACCTGCGGGTTGACTTGTCGTAGTGTCGGCTAAGGGAATAATGTATCGGGTAAGCGGGATATTTATATGTTGAAAGCACTTCGAGCTTCTGAAAGCTATTTCAAGAAGTAACACTCAGTAGTTTCCGAAAATTTGCTTAGCTTATTTCGTGTGTCAGTCTGTTAACTAGACGATGTATTTTCAAAATGGGTACTAAACTGTACATAGGGCAATTCCAAACCTAGAAACCGCCCCAAATCCCTGTGAATACAGTACCAGAACTGGAGCTCCTGTAGACAACAACCATTTTCCTTACCATACCATAGGAACACTGACATCAAAGCTGTGGCTGACATGGTTTGACAGCAACAATTCATATATTGCTCTGGACTTCGTAAATAAGAAACCTGGCTAAAATTTGCGAGCTGATGTGTAAGTTTTATTAAACAGCAACAGCTAACGATATCTGAGAAGTTCAGAAGTACTGCACTCAATATAAATTATCATGAAGTATAGACGTCCCTACCTGTTTACTTGTTTCTTCCGGCGTAGTGCGACCCATTAACTCTTGTTGACATAAACCCCACTAGAGATATCCAGCAGTTCACAACTAAATGTCGAAAATAAGCAAGTCACTCAAATGTTAGCGGTTTGGTACTCTTCTGATCGTTCAGTCTAAACTCATTCAAGACCATTCATAACACTTGTGCATTTTATGCTTACAGCCATTTTGCGGCTGATGATTTAACTACACTAGGACGAAATTCACATACTTTGTGTCGTTATCGGCGCGTTCTAGTTTTCGAGTTTGTTTTTCACTTTTATTAGGTATGATCTCAGCCCTTAAATATATAACCATCTATGTCCACTTCTGCTTGCGGTCAAGTGCTTCAAAACTTGCTTGTTAGGATAAGTTACATTATTGCTATTTCTTAATGTAGTCCGGCGCTAAAACTATCTGCTGGGTTAACATTCTGGGTTACTTTCATATCGCGACACTAAAACTAAAATCTAGCTATCGTTTGAGTTTCTTCTAAGACAAAACTATAAGTTATGGACGACCTTAAGGCGGCGCTGGGGTGATCTTGCGAGTGTCTGCCTAACAAATAGAAACAATTGAGGGCTGTAATCCAGTGTGGAAAATTATAATTATGAGGAGTATCGTTCGTAGAATGACTAAGGTTAGTCGCATTGGTCTCCATTTATTGGATTCAGGTATCAGAAAATATGGACGCGTTCACGCTAGTCAGGATAGTCCATGATTCGATGTAATCATGGTTAACAGGCTACAATGACAATAAGTCTTAGCACAGATGAACGCCACTCTATAATCATACCCTTCGTGTAAATGCTAGTAGTCTCCATTAATCTCGTGATCAATAAACTAGCATTCGCGAATATTGCTATTGCTGTAAAAGTGAAGTATAATCTAAAAGTGCCTACAGCCGTCATAAATCGAATGAAATTTCTGGTCATATAGATGTCCACATGCATACATTTTTTTGCAGTTTTTTGTGAGGTTTAAAATATTGAAATTTCCTACATGTCGTGGGTGTATGTATATATAATATCAGCGTGTCTGAAAAATGTTACGACTGAAATTGCAAGCGTTCGCTAATCCAAGTGATGAATGAGTTTTCTTCTCATAATAAACAGTTGTCGAACAGCGTACACTGAGGGAAATAACTTATAAAAAGTGTATTTTGGTGGCATTTATAACTGAAAACTTTTCTTTGAAATTGACTAGTGTTCAGTTGAAATAAACGACCTCGAATGTAAAGCATATGCAGGCCAGATTATTTTCATTAGGCCTGAATTGCACAGATTTTGGGCTTTTTAGTTTAAATTATGACCACAGTCGTAGTGTTACAGTGAAATAGGTATGTTCGATGTCATATGTTCTTTAATACGGTTTACATAAAATGAAGTCAATCCAAAATGATTCGTGTTCGTTAGTATTACTGATGTATCTATTAAAATATCCACAGACTGATAAACGGTAATTAGGTGTTTTGAAATTTTATTAGCAGGTGTGAATATAATTTGCCTTTAATTGCAACTCTTATCTACGATATCTGAACGTGAACGGGATCAAGTGTACACTGGGTGTCATTTTACATAAAGCAATACAAGCCGTTAGACATATATGAAATGAAAGCTTTGTAAGCTGTCATTTTTAATCCATCGTTGCTAACCTATATCGCTCTTTAATTGTCATTCTATAAATTACTTAGAATTTGATTGTAACAGTATTCTCATTCGAATTTGCTTTCCAAACTTGTGTTTGTATTGTGTGCACACTTGCAACTACCTACTTCGGTAGTCTAGTCACCAGTGAGTATCACTCACTACAAGCTTTGCAGTGCCATGTGCGGAAAAATCAAGGAAATTCGACGGAGGTACAACTAGTTGTTCCCTTTTCTTATCTCTGCAGTATGTTTTCAAGCGGTTGTAGGTGTCACATTACTTCCTCAGTTTGTTCCAGCATTTTACGTCACATGATCAAAGGCTGTCATGTGTTATGAACTACATGTCTTGAGTATTATTGTTTTGGATTACCAAAACTTCACTCGTCAAATTTCCTGGATTTTACACAGAATTCACATTTAGTCAACTTCATAGTATATTCTGGTACACGTGTACATTGGGTCAACTTTCAATACCCCATTAGCATAGATGAAAATGTCAGGTCGGAGCTCAAAGTAGCGTCAAACCATTGGTTGCCTGTTGCGTCAAATTTGTAAACGTTATTCCCCACCGACCTGTTTCTGCCTCGTTTATTTTAGATGTGTGGATGGATTAAAACGATCTATGCATTTATTCTGAGTCCGTCTCTTCAAAACCTGATGCTCTACATTTAGCACTTCAATGTGTTGGTACTAATAGTACCTCGATTTTCTTGCTGATGACCTTGCCGATTTCGTTACGATGTCGTTATCAGGAAAAGCAACTTGATCACCCTCCGTCCTAGTACTCATTTTTTATTATAAGTTAACCTTGTTTGATTGCAAAAAAATTTTGTACAGCAATATCTAGAAGGTATGGTGTAATTCGTAACCATATCAGGGTATGAAGAACCAAAACAAAGTAGGCTAGACTAAAATGGAAATACAACGTAGCGATTCGAATAACCATAAGGTACGTCTTTCTGTTTACATGAAGGATAACTACTTCGCGATCACCTATTTCTGTTCTTCATACATAATGCCTTATTGAGCTCAAAGTTTCCGTCGTAAAAGTCATGATACGTGAGTAAATACTAAAAACCGAAGTGTGAATTTCTACTCCATTGCAAATTGACCACCTTAAAACTACGACTCAACACTAGCAATTGCGAATAGTATATAGCAAACAAGCCCAAGTTACTGAAACGTGTTTCACGTTGGAGTCACTGTATGTAAAAAATTTCTCAACTCCGCCCATATTCTGGCGACCGCCCTTTAAAGGCTTAGTTTTAGTACAACAACCGTGATAGTATAAACTGACATTTCGTGCACTGATTTGTTATTGACAATATAGAAAAAAAGTTTCACATCCACTGAAGTACATGAAGTTAGTCATTATCTAATTTCCTAACCCTGATTGGATAGTGTTAAATGGTCAAATCAAGTTATTCTTATTAAAACTGGCGAACTATAGCTCATTGTATTTTGTAGCATTTAACTGTGAAAATCTTGTTCAGTGCATCTAACGGGTCTCCAGTATTTTATAAGGGTGTTTTGTCCATCACGTATATTTTTTCTATTTAATATGGTAATTTTCCTCCAGTTTATGCAAACTTGATTATCAATTTAGCTCGCTAAAACTTTTTTTCAGCTTTTAATCCCACCCAGTGTTCACAATCGCCACCGAATATGGCTGGATTCATCCCGTCCATGACGAGTGGTTTCTCTGGGTTTCACTTCGTACATAAACTTCGAGAAATTATTGCGTGAATAACTATTCCGATTTCATTTCATTTTCACTGTATATTTAAGCAAACTGTATTCCTGTTTTCGGGTATTCACTCTTTTCTAATTTTTATTAACAAGCATTACACATAGTTTTGCCTTGCGTCATTTTTATGAAATGTCCCATTATTTGTTATGCGAGACACTATGCTCTCAAGGGGTTTCATTAACGAATATTTGCTTAAAAGAGGATTTAACTAACATCAACTTTGACTCTTTACAAATAATCTATTAACAAATCAGTCGGAACTATTGACCGATTTCAAAATGATTTTTCTTTAGTTTTGATCTAGATAGTAGGATAAATCATTTCAACCGAATAAGCGCTAACAAACACCGATCTGTCATAAATACTGGACGATAATTACTAACATCTCTGCTTCATGTAATAAGTAACGATGCCAGTATAATATTCAAAATCATATTCTTCCACTGACGCTCGAATATCGGAACTAAGCTACGAAAACTGCTACACATTACCTTAACTATTAGTCGATTACGGTGTAGAAGACTTCAGAATTTAATAAATCAATTTCACAAATCCGAAGCAAGGCCGACGTAGTACTCGATCGGTATTGCACGTATTCTTATAGTGACTAATTCTGAAAATGTACTATGAAAATTGACCTCAGCACGTTTAACTACTAAAATGTAGTTGAAGTCTACCTTAATAGCTCTTTTGCCACATATTTCCCAAAAGTCAGGCACATTTCCAATTGCTCTATTAGAATAACGTCTTCATTACTAGGAAATTAATTCATTGACAGTTCACTAGTTAGTACAAACACATGCAAGTTCATTATCTATCCTGTTGCACAAAATAAAGTACGGATCTGATAGTCTCAAAGCTCTGTTCTCGAGACCTAGGATTCGTCAATAGTCTGATGAGTTGAAATACATTTTTAAGTCTTGAACCACTTTCTTAGTACGAATAGTCATCCTTATATCTGAGGAAGTCGTGAGAGGTTTTTCTCACTTATAAACTTAAATAAAGAGAGAATTTCGCAGCAGATCATCTTAAAAGTTGAGCACGTAACTCGCACTTCGACAAAATTTACGTCTGGTCGAGTGCACTTTCACTCCCGAAAACTAAATTACTAAGCTATCACCGCACTTAGATTCCACGCAATAGTGACGTCAGACCACAATGACTAACTATCGGTTCGACGAGGATCCGACAACAGAGTTTTCGGCTGTATTCAATGCAACACTCGTAAGTGGTTGAGGATTTTAAGTGACGTTGCAAAATATGGTGTGTCCACCGATTGACGTTCGTTAGTTCTGTTCTTGAACGCCATCTTCCGATTTTAAATTACTTCCACTGCTGGTAAGTATGGACGTAAAGTTCTCTAACGTAACTGAGAAGTCGTGTATGTGATATCAGTTTGCTAGGCAGACGGCCTATCGTAACTTCGTAATCGACCCGAGTGACTTGGTTGTACGTAGTATAATATCACGAACTTGATCGTTATTATGAGGTCATAAAAGCTGGTGTCAACAGTGCAAGTGCAGCACTGTTTGAGACATGGATCCTCGTATATGTGGCGCCAGTTAGTTGAACGCTATATCAAGCGGACTGTATGCAAATTGGTCTAGATGCTCGTTCACTTCACGACGACGGGAGCACGGTCACACATCGGACAACTTTTTGTGTGCATCGTCTAGCTATAGCGTCACGACAACTAGTTTGCTCACCTCGGTTTGGAGATGCACTTGATACTCGATTACTGACCGATTTATGATTCTCATCACCGTCTGCATTCCGTAAGTTAGTAGTTTATTCTTGGACATAACCTGTGGTTGACATACAGGCATCTGTCATCGGGATAATTTTTCTTCATTTTCAGGCTGTTACAGAACCAATAAGGCTGCTCGAGGCTTACAGTGAACATTTGACGGACTCCGGTGGTATTATGCAGCAGTCCGTCTCGGCATTGGTGGAGTTGATGTCGTCAGCCAACCGCAAACTTGTTCCAAAATGTATTTCTTTGTGTATTATCGCTTCGTCGTCTCCAGAAACACAATTGCAGTTATGTAAAGATGGCGCATGGGAAATATTACTCAAATGGCTTCAAGAAGCCCTCAAAGAGGATAACTACGCATTTCTGTTAGAGCTCTTAAAAGTGTACTTGCTACTCCCGGTGAGATTGGAACAGCTTACACAGAATGTCTGTCCCAAACTAATAAATTCTCTGACGAAACGTTGTGATCATGAAGGTAATGTGCACTAAGGCATAATTAAGTCCGTAATAGAGGTAAAATCTGTGGCTGCTGAGATTGTAAAAAAATGGAAGGAAGTTATAAGTTCTGATTCCCGCCAGTTGGTCTGTAAGTTAGGTTAGCACCACCTAATGTATTTATAGCAAACCATGTAAAAAGGAAAAAAGTAGAAACTGAAACAAAAACAATTAGCAAAGATGCTCAGTCGCATGAGACAATAAGAGATGAGAAAAAACGCCGAAGTACTGTTAAAATACCCCCTAACAATATGCGGACAGCAGGTATGGAGGACACACCTGCACAAGCCCAGCCTAAATCTAGATCGGATATATTCGCGAAGAAAAAGTAAGCCGCGGTTGCGACTCTTAATTTTTTTTCCAGCAAAATCGAACATGATAATAGTCTGACATCTGAGCTCCCGATTGAATCCTTCCATCAAAAAATAACTGTTACTCCGACGGAATCTCGCAAAGGTATTTTGACATTTGAAAATTCAAATTTGTTTCAGAGATTCACGAGAGTTCGGATTTTATCAATGCACTCACTACTTCTCCGTGTCCCGTTGTTCGAAAAAAGAGAAAAATATCTCCTAAAATCGAGCCAGTTGTACAAACAGATCTCTCCACTGTATGTCCGTTTAATATTATACTAGCAGTTTTAGAGCAAAGAAGAAAATTATACGGAGTTATCTGATCAAAGCAGTGCACTTGATTCATTTTCAAACTCACCTAAGGGAATGGGCTCCAGGAAATCCTCATTGTCCAACATTTATTCGACTTTCACTGCTGAGAATAAACCTAAGAAACGAGTGTCTTGGGCTGATGAGGACAAACTACAATCTTTCTACTATTTCGAGCTAGATGAGTCTGAGAGAGGTAAATTGAGATTATTTTTAGGATGTATTTGTCTGTGATCTGTTTTCCTCAATCCTAACCAATATTGCTATATACATCATGTTTTATACAGTTAACGTGAATCGAGTATCCATTGAGGATATTCGTCGCAAGGAACATTCCATGGAACGTCAGCTTTTCAAACGATCCCATGAAGACACCGATGTCTATTCTCAAAAGGTAAGTTAAACTCGATATAGCTCCAAAGTGCGACGGCTTTAAGTATCTGAAGCTATCAATAATCATGAGCTTTTATAATTTCATAATAATGATGTATATATTATCAAGTAATTAAAAATGTTTCTTCTCAAAGTTTTTTATTTTAGGTTATTATTTTTATAACTTAGTTTTCACTGAATATTCGTTTTGTTTTGAATTTTATTTTGATCTTATTGTACATGTGGTTTCCTTTCAAATAAAATTCTTTTATTCGAATGATTGATTTTTTTCATGCAACTATGGTGGGTGGTTTATTCACAAAATGTCCATAATTTTGTTCTACTTGAGCGGTCTCACGATAGCAATATATCAGTCTTCACAATACCCTGTTAAAAGTTAACATTTTTTTTAGTACAAGTACTAGTGATCTAATGATTGCGCCAACTTATAGCTTCCAAAATTCACCACACTCTGTAGACTGTCATATATTAGTGTTTACTTCTGATGGTATTTCTTCCAATTCTTGTCATCTGTCTTCGGCAAATCTTTTTCGTTTCTATAAAGTATTAAACTACCGCGTAGTCTCATCGATTGATGAGAACGTTATTGAACTTAAATTGAAATATAAAGCACATTTGTATATAACCGTCACTCCAAACTATGAATGTAAATAGTGTTATCACAAGATTTCCTAGTTCTGATATCAGCTTGTAGATTCAATTATGCATTCCGTTGTAATCGGGTATACCGTAATGTCCTGTGGTTTCTGACAGTCAGGTTCATTTCACACATTCCGAATTTCGTGAGTTTTTGCTAATTATCTTGTGAATAAATCACAACTGCATTATTTGAAAATCAATATTACTTGTATTCACAATGTAGGTAATAATACTCCTACAGTTTGTACAATGTGTCTTACATCGATCTTAACAACTGGTAGCGTATGGATTAATCTGCTCTTACTAATTTTTAAGCACCAACATCACAACCTCCGATGGACACTTAATTCTCGAGTTATCTTGCGTTTACTTGCAGTTGAATGGATGATTTTAGTGTTACGACTTCTGTAGTGATCTGAACAAATATTTTCCACTAAGGTGTCATATATTTAGGTGCGAACTTCCGCCATTGTAGTTACGTGGGAACCGCATATCCAGAAGTGTCTAAAGCTGAAGTGACTTGCCTTAAACCTGCAGGTGTGTGTCAGTGTTGTGTGAAACAGAACATTGGTTGTTTCGTTACATATTCAGGTGATATTTCATTCTGAATGCCTTCATATGTAAAGTGAATTATCAGTCCCAGATATCATCGACCTTAGTTATGTATATGAATTGAATGGAAACTGACGATTAGTACGATTGTTCTGTGAACTATTTGCATACTAACCAATTTCTTAAGACATTCTGTCACTATATCGTCTAGGTGATCACTGTTCCATACACGAATTCTTAGCAATTTCTTTACACATCTGGAGGTACGTTCACTTCTGAAGCTTCGTCGTGAAGCTTTTTCACTGGCTGATAGGATTAAATACTCAGAATAATACCTAAATTGTCTCCGGAGATTATGTTAACAGATCTAGGTAACTACTAATAGGCTGCTTCTTGGTAATCCTTGATCCCTAATTTAGCTGATCATGATCAAAACATCCATAGAAGCGGTTATGATCTTTGGGAGATTCCGCATACAAATTTTGAGTTGATGTAATATCTTGGTAATTATACTAGTAGGGACATTGCGCATTGGAAATATCTAGTTTAATGTTCCCACCAGTAGAACTTTTTGTCAAGGGAATCCTAAGAATTAGATTATTATTCTTTGGCAGAATTTCATTTGGGTTTCTTTCTCATGTGTTTATTTCGTTTCCCATGTTCCAAAAGCTCTGCGTTTGTTTTGTGAAATATTGAGGAATAGCACAGTTGTCCGTCCACAAACAATCTTGGAGTCTTTAACGGAGCTGATTAGTGGCTACCATCCCAATATGTCGGTGTTTCAAGATGCTTGTGTGATATCCAAATGTTGGCTATCGGATTCCTAAACGATGCGTCCGATTATCATTCTCACCCGTTTTTCCCTGTCTATTTTTCTAATTACTCGATTATATTGATATAAACATGGGCCAGGATATGTATGACTCAGACTTCAATGATCGACCAATGTGATTATGAACTACTTAACATTCCACCATTATCTATACGTTTTTCAGTGTTTTATTCCAACATTATTTTGTTCGTTATGTTGTTCTATGTCAGTATTTGATGATGATGTTTTTTCTGCTATAGACATGTTATATAGCGATATTTATACAATTTCATAAGTTTCCTTCCTATTTCAATTCCTCATAACAGTGGCACCCTCCTTGTCCATTAGAACGACTTCTCTTGGTCGAACCCGGCTGTAAATCTATTGAACGTCAGATTCAATTAGAACGAGAACGTTGTGTTCTGCAAGCAATTTACTTTACTCGTGAAAGTATTCCATATAGTCCAGAAGAGCCTGATGCAGAAGTTGTCGAGCATATCGCTCCTCTTGATATACCCTTGGATGATGTAAGTTTATTATCCTTACACAGTTACGAGCAGTAATTACTATAAGCCAAAAACACAACACATATTCACAGTTTTCTATGAAGATTGAGTGGTTTTGGGAAGTCTTGCTCACTGCAATCTCTCGGCTAGAACAAAGAGCGAATTTCCGGCACTTTAATCGGGTTGGTGGGTGTGGAGGATCCACCTAAGAGATCTGGAAAACCCTGACTCCAAACCCAATCTGCACATGAGTTTCAGGATTCTCAAGGGACATGGCGTATAAACCTACTGTTGGTCGTTGGTCGTCATGCCGTTGCCTCCTAAAGTTGCTTTACTGACTTGTGGACTAGACCTTTAAGTCAAAGGCTCGAGAATTGATCTAATAAAACCACCTGCTTCGGTTTTGCACATACGGGTAGTATCCCCGCCCTCACACAAATCGAATGGTTTGTGTGGCTCATATATATTTGGCGTCTTCTTGTACCGATTTTATGTGTTAAAATGAATAAATGAGTGGTTTCGACACTTATTATACATTGATAATGTATTACTCAACAATCACTTAAGTTATCCAACGTATTATAAAAGTTCCTGAATATATATGCATTTAACTTGTTCTTTCTATAGGACAATTTTTGATAGTGGGTTAGTTTTAAATACTTGCATTTGCAGAATATTCCATGGAAATATCTCAATTGTCTCTACTAAAAACGTTTTTGTTAATTTTATTTTGAATGAAATTCTGTCTTAACATTATATCAAGACATTGAATATATGTTAAACTTTCTGGCTGTTAACTAAAATCCTTTAAATCTGTGATAATTTGCGAATTTTTTGTTCTCATCTATTTTTTTCTTTATTTTTCCACAAACATTACATTCTCTTTGTAAATATGTAAAATGCTATGCCTTCAGATGTATAATATAGTGGAGTTCATAAGACTGCTTATATCTATAGAAATGCAATTAAGCACATCAATAATTAAGTGATGAAAACAGAGTTCCGTTTTCGTTGTTGTATCAAACGGTTGTCGGTACTAAAAGTTGAGTTTAGACTTATAGATGTCAGTCTGCCCTAAAAGCGAGTTTGCGACCCATAAAAGCAATTGATAACATAGTGCTTTACTCAAATAATGTCGACGATGAATCAGAGGAACCTATGGTTCTCAATCTAAGATCCAAATGAATGGATCAGCGAGATCTTCAAATTTCAAAATCATTGAATCAATCCAACTTTCACTTACTCTAATGGAACAATGTATTTGTCAAGTGTAAAAGCTGTCTGAGAAATACATTGGTGAATTAAAAACCGTATAATTAATCTGGTTTGCCATCTGTTTATCCACTTTCTAATGGTTCATGTTATTAAAATCTGCATTGTGAACACTTGATAATATTGCACATCAGACACAAAATAGTGTTATCAATGCTTTCTTTTCAACCTGGATGGTAATGGTTGTTGAAGTCAGTCATTGCTTCTTGAAAGGTGTGATTTATACATCTAACGACCGTTGCCCTTATCAAGTTCATAAATGCAATCAAGATATCGAAATATAGATCTACTAATCTATTAAATGGACATTCATAGCATGAATTAAGTGGACAATTTTCAACTAACTATGAACAGTTCTTCCGATCTGTGTTACCATTCTTCACAGCCATTTATAACGTATGCCATGCAATGTTTTGTTGCACTTAGCTAACCAAATAGTGTGTTACCGAAGTTTGTTAGTTTAAAACATGTTGTTATCCTTAACACCTTGTTTGCGGAAGCTATACAACAGACATCACTAAGCTATTATTCATGTTTTCGTAAACCACACAATTGTAGAGGATAAACGATTATTTTCACTGACAACGAGAATCTAAACATTTTTGTACCACATAACTTGAAAAAACCTAAATTCTCTCAATACTTGGCTATAACGCATTTTCTTACCAACTTTGAACATCTATTATTTATGTTGTGCATAAAATATGTATTGAGATTGAAGGTTTCTCTACTCTAATGTTGGACTAAGTGTTTGCTGCCATTCTAAACTGAATTTACCCGTAAAATATCACTTTTCTTCCAGACAAATTTGAAGTTGGACGTGTTAGCTTGTAGATTGGTTTTTATTTTATGAAACTTATACCTAGTTAATAAACTGAAACAAATTATCTGTATTTTCTTCAGCTTACTGCCTACGAATCAATTGATAAAAGTTCTGAAGTTAATTCTGAGAGGCTATTGGTTATGAAAGATGCCATGGGAAATCCACAGGCGAGTTTAACCTCAGTAATTTTCTCCCTCGAAACTATATATATATATATATATATATATATATATATATATATTCCGGCTCGTGTATTTTAGGAAGGTTCTTTTCTACATAATCCCCCTTCATCCGTGCTTGAGACCGGCAGTAACTTAACTTTCCCCCCTATTCGTTCAAATTTATACTTGTTAAGGTATATTTTAAAACTGTTGAAGCGGCTCTTGTAAGACAAATATATTTTAGTATCCGTATCCTGTTCTGAATTCTAAAGATAAACTCTATCAATTCTCACCACAAATATCACACTTTTTTCATCATTGATCATACTTACATACACACACGTTTACATACATGTCTCATATAAATCACCTTGACAGAAATGACTTGTCCAGGCCTATTTTTGATTGATTGCACCTAATTTTATTGTCTTGCTCCTTTGTACTATTTAAACGGGTTAATTTTAATTTGGTTATTTATTCTCTGAAGAAGTGGCTTACACTGAGAAACGAAACGTCAGAAAATCTAATTTTCTACTCATTGAGATATTACAAATATATTTTTGTCTATAACAATCTACCAGATGCTCAATTTATTTGAAATTATCAAGTCAAACCTTGGTAATGATACCTTTGAAATAGAATGAATAGTCCTTATTCGAACTGTGTTCACAATTATGGTCAACTTACATTTCCTTAAGATTATTTACAAATAGTTATCGTTTCAAGCTTTTCAATTTGACTAAATTCGAAAACAACTTATGTAGACGTTTACCTGAATTGTAGCAATGCAGTCTTTACTAAAGCATACTCAAAGGCATAAAGTAGTTTTACCGAGATAATACAAAAAAGCGTTATGGTATCAGCATACGTATCTTCTATTATTATTTGCACTTGTTTTATGCTAGTTTTTAACTTTAAGTGTTGGATTTTTCGAAAATTTTAACCTGATAATTAAGCTATCATAGTCCCAAATAAACGTATAAATCTAAATGTAACTTCTTCATACAACTGTTTCACTAAAAGGTCATGTTTTCTAAAATCTCTAAAGAAATCGCTTCATTTGTTTGTCTTAACATTTTCTTATTCTTAAAAACCTTTTTCTAGATGTCATTAAATCCTGAGGTTGCTAACCTAGTCAAGTCACTGGCGGCCAACCTCACTAGTTCTCCATCTGATCTTGTTCAAAAGATGCCACCTCAAATGAACCCCGTCTTGACTACAACATCTTGTTCTGATTTCAATTTACAACCAAATGCTTTCGTTCCTGTTTCCAGCGACACAAAAATGAACGTAAATAGTCCGAATTCTGAATCGGTACATGGAATTAACGCTCATTCTCCAATTGATCAAATGCTACAAAGAGAATTGTGGGAAGTCTTGGAGCACAACTATCCAGACATTAATGTTCATGACTTAAGTGCGGAGCGCATTCGAGATCTACTCGAACCTTTACGTGATCAACTCGTTGCTCGAGGTATTTTTCAGCTTCGTAACCCATGCCCACCAAAACCACCTCTTCAGTATCCTGACTGTCCAGTCGATTCTCCTGTCCCACGCCAAGGCTTCCGCCCACCTTTCCATGGTCTTTCGCGTATGCCTGTCCCTGTTCCTAGATCCGATTTTACACCACCTCCCCATGGACCAAGATTATGCCCCCCTAATCCTTCTGGCTATGGGCCTCCGAATCGAATGCCTAATAGACCATCCTTTCACTCGATGAATCCCACATTACCTCATCTCATTCCTAATACGATGCCCCCTTACAATGGTCCTCCGACAGCTCCTCGAATACCTGCTTATCCTCGTGGAAACTCTCATGCTAGGAATAATGGTCAGCCTTGTAAGTTCTTCCAACAAGGAGGATGTCGTAACGGTCACTCTTGCAACTTCATGCACTCTCGATGAGAAATACAACTATTTTCACTGCTGTTTCTTGTCCTTAGCTCTGTAAAAATCACTTAGATTTCGATTTATGCATTTTAATTCAAAAATATCAAACTCTAACACTACATCACTTAAACTTTACTGGTTGTAAATAAAATGCTAAACGTCTTGTATAGTTTTCTTTTACAATAGAATATTTATTTTATGAATTTCACTATGGGTTTTCAACAAATTACCAGATTTCATGAATAATTTGTTAATTATGTTCATAAATTGGATTGATGCTTCCCGTTTTCATCTCTATATCTCAAAGGTATTTTGAAACCCGATGCTATTGGCAAGCTTTACACGGCAATCACTCTGTTTATATTAAGAATATATCATGTACATTTTTTATTCTAACTTGATAAATTTTCATGATTTATATAATTCCAGCAATTTCTTATCTGAAATATCATTGCTTATATATTTTCAAAATCAGAAGCTTATTCCGAACTAGGTTGATCTCCAATTGTTTTACAACAGTGAACAAGGTGATACTCTCTACATATACACCTGTATCGATCAGTTTGTGTGTTGGTAAACGCATTAAATGAATATCTGTCTTCAATTGGGACACTGATCTTGGCTATTTTATTAGAAAATATTTATTAGTAGTAAAATGATCACAAATTACGCTTTTTAGGGTTTATTAGCTTTTACATTGACCGATATACTCATACCATACTATCTTCAGTGTGTCGTTACTTTCATTTCTTTTCTACTTTGTTGCACTTATTTCAAGATTCCATAACTACGATTCCATACCAAACATCTTAACTACTAGAGTAATCAAAAAACCTAAGATTAAGAACTTGACGAAAAGAGGTCTTTATGCTATTCCCTATCCACCTCATGTACCTTATTGTTATTCATTTAACCACTCGTTAATCTACTATTTTTACAGTAAAGTGAATTAAAGCAACTCGAAAACGGTGTGTGTTTATGTTTATTTACGTCCGCTCCTAAAATCTTTCGAACGTTGAAGCTCAAATATCCTCATTCTGTTTGAATTATATATATGGAAGTCCAACACATCAAATGTCTACTTGGTTCATTCTTACATGAACATCCTTTAACATAATCACACAAACAATATTAATGATAGTATGGATATCCAATTTCATGTAGTTTTTCACAAACATCACTTATAATAAATAAAATAAATACAAGTGAATTACTTGCATCACTAAGCCTTTAACTTATGTAACTTTTCACACTCAAAAATTCAATACAAACCACTGTTGCCATAGGAAGATGTGAAGATCGTTGAACTGTGTAGCTTTTATCATAAACTGACTTTAATAAAATAACTATCGAAACCCAGGAAGCACTGAATAGGTGTTCCGCCATAGTATGAAACTCTAAGAGTACATACCCACTCCCCAACTGACGATAGATCTCAGAACCTTCGGTTTCCGAGGCGAGCATGTAACCGGACTCCAAACGTTTACATAACTAACTTGAGTCACTGCACCTGAAGTGTTCGACTTCTCGAAAACATTAAATGTCACTACATACTGAAACATAACGTTTACCTTCAGTCTACCCAAGAATAATCATTTTATCTAGTTATAAGCTTTAGGAACAAAATAAATATACTAAAGTTTGGTGTGACGTATCATCTATTTCCAATCTCGTTTGTCAGAATATGCATATCACAACAGTAATTTTGTTGTTGTCATTGTCTAGTTTTTCTGACCTCGAAACACTTTCATTCATGTAAAAACCTCCAAAATATTTATTTCAAGGTATGCATACCGAGTTACAATTCTTAAAATATAATTATGCTCGATAAGTTGATTCTTAAAACGTCAAATAATAAACTAATATTCTAACTGTTAATCTTGTTAGCATACGAATTACAGATCACGTATAATGTTTAACAGATTAGCGATTATTGAAATACAATGCTAGTGTAATTTGAATGGTACATCATTTGTTGATTTTTCGTAATCTCATAATTACTCACTAGTAAGCAAAACTGACATTTTCTTCAATACTTTGATACATATGATTCAAATTAAACTAGCCCATTCATCAGGTACTTGGGTCTGAGCTACACTCTAAATGTGAGGGCTAATACTACTTGGTTACCTAAATCTAAATAAAATGAGCGGTTTTGAGCCAAGGACATATTGTGTGTAGGTCGAACGCTCAGTCACCGGGCCACTGCTCCAGGATGCGTTTTATTCACATAATGTAAGCTTGACGTTTTATTTTGTAATTTGGCTCTTTTAGCCTGAAATTTTGGCAACTTTCTTAACTGTAGCTTGGATGGAATTCCTAATAGGTCTCCTTGGATAGTTTTCATGATCTAATAAGGAAACTAGTTTAATTACTACTGAGAGGTCCTTTTCACTTCCTTATTGTGGATCATAGTAGCATAACGTACGTCGGTCATAATTAAGTAATATACACGTTTTAATTTCCTAAGTTTCTTTAATTGAGATTTTCGTGTCTCAAATGTCAAGCTGCTCCTAGCCACCTCCTACAAATCGATAAATGAGTATAAAGTTTAATGCGAAAATCTCACGATTCTACTAAGTAAAAAAGTGGTCAAGATTCAGATTTGGGAAGATATCATTCAATTTATCCGTTTAAATTGATCCTAAGTGAACTTGAACTAAGAATAGTTCAACAAAACACTGCAGTTAGACGCATATACGTATCCATTCTATTTTATATTCCCCGAAGTAGTGCTGCTACTGTATGGTTACAGTGTTGCTCTACACTCTGGGATGTGAATTCGTATCGCGTGTAACAGTTATGAATAGAACTGTTAAATCTACTCACGACAGCTATCTCATTTTGTAGGGCAGTTTTGTAAATGATAACAATACACTACAGTGTAAAAGCTATGAGGTTTGTTGTATTTTATGCATCAGTTCCGATTCATCTATTTTTCTGCTAAGCGGAATCAGGAAAAAAGATCTCAACAGTCCTTGGTTTTCAATAGTTCTTAAGCTAATATCACTTCATGATGAAAACTGACTGATTTACGTCTTAAAAAACTCCACGATGCCAAATTTCAAATCAGAAATTCCGTACATAACCGTGTCATTAATGGAGAAAAATTTCCTATATTTGAATGCTAGTCAATGATCCAATATCTGGTTGTAGAAATGTTTTTAGATAAAACTGGTTGAGCGCTTCAGTGAAGGATGTAGGAAGAAAAGACGTTTGGAAGTTCCCTTATCTGAACAGAGGCATATTGCATGCCAACAAACCATGTGTCAGTTCCCCGATAAAATGCAAATAAGTAGGTATAGTGTGAAAATAAAGTGAAGATTTGGTGAACGTCTTTTCTTTAAAAATTAAGAGGATTGTTTACGATAGATATTTTGACCAACTATGCTAGTCTTTAATAACTGGGATCGTAAAAAAGTAGTTGGTGTGGTTTATCTATAATCATAGCTACCTTGAACAACACATGAATCATTCAGTTCTCAAGAAACCTGTACCACTATAAAACAAATTTGTCTATAATGTTATGGAACTATTTTCTAGGTGATTTCAGTATGTTATAATCAATATTTTTTTAAGAAACGGATATCAGTATGCATTATGGGAAGACTCTATGTCAAGGCCAGTGAATAGAGTCCGTCAAATATGTGTGACGCATAAAGACACTTATTTAGGTGAAAAAGGCAAATGTAAACTAATGGATCGTTCACTCATCACCTGACTTGATATCATTTTTAATTCTTGTAGATACAAACAAGTTGCTAGTATCATAGTTCAACGATAAAGCTTCCTATGCAGTTTGTTTTCGTATTCCATCTAGCTAGGTAACTAAATGTTATGCGTATTCAATAGTAGCTTAATCAGAGATCGGTATCAGAGCAAGTTCTGATCAGTGCAACAAGCTCTCTGAGCTGGATGGTTTGCTTGTTTCGACAATTTAACCATGCAGTTGTTTATGTTTTCTTGCGTGGATGGTTTTGAAATATTGATCAGTTTCTTTTTTAGGATGCTCCTTCTTTGTTATATGTGTCGTCTGCATGATACCTCGATGGCTGTTGTCAAGATTTCCAAATGTTCTGATGTGAGTTTTCTCTGTAGCTTCCTCTTTTGGTCATCTACGACTCATTGGTATTTGTGGACCCTGTATTGTGCATCAGTTATCATTAGGTGTACCATTTTTCTTTCATTTTTCTCAGCTATTCTTTATCCCATTGAGCAGTTGATTGTATGTCTGTCTCTCACAATTATTGGTAGAATATGTTGACGAAGACATTCGTGGAGAAAAAAATAATTATTCTCAAGTGGAAACCTGCTTTTTGGCAAAATTCTTCCATTTTCAAACAACGAGAAGAGTACTATGCTCATATGATTTTGAGATAGTGGAGAAGATTTGTAGCTCAGAGAACAAAACTTCATTCAAATCATCCACCTGAGTTGTTGGTCCATATATATAAATAAGTATATTGTTCGATATTTTGACTACTTTTCAAGTGATTTCAGTAAATTTTATCTACAAAACTAATCAATATTGAAATATATCTCTTTGAATAATGTTCGAATTAAAGGATAAACTAAAAACTTCTTTATATATATGGAAAGGTAATAACTAGTTATTCTGTATTGATTTTAATTTATAAATTTCAAGTTTAGTCAATAAGTTTTCCGTAAAAAAATTGAAAGTGGTCACTTAAATGTATTGGCATAATATACCAGATTGACTGAAAATTGGAATATGGATCATTGAATTTTGATTTAGTGACCTTCAAATATCGTACACATTACGAGACATCAGTTTCCTAGGTTTAATGCCACTTACTAATGTTGGTATGTTTTAGTGAGGCAGTTGAAATGTCAAGACAAACAAACTAGTTGTCTAGATTCGTCAGACTCTTTGTGTTTCCCTGTTTGACATCACCATGAGGATAAATAATATCTTCAAGCTAAACTGATTTTCACAAACCAACTTTCTTGAAAATCCAAATTTAATAAATTAATAAACTTTATTTCAAAATTAGTCTATATAACAGGTTGATACTAGAGATCAAATTTAGCACATCTTATTTGAAAGTTATATGATTGATAAAAACAAAGTTAAAGAGTATTCCTTTCATTCCTTGTAGCTAACCTTCTAATACTGATATCAAATGAAAACTACATTTAAATCTTTAAAGAAATTCATATTGTTTTTCTTATATTGAGAAAAAAAG